TCTATCCACAGCTCCACCTAGCTGTCTCTAGGCTAGGCACTAGCAGCTATGGGAATCAGGAAAGTGGTCACATAGAAGGTATTAAGAGCTGAGTTTTGAAGGAAACAAGGTTTTGGTTCTAAGTGGCAGAAGGGAGAAAGAAGACATTGTAGTCATGTGATAACCAGAGTTATTTACTTATAGTGGGCTTTCAGCCACCTAAAACTCCTAAATCTTTTTTTCTCTCTCTCATAGATCATTTCTTACCAAATCCTTCCTATCATAGAAGTATACAGTTTATTTTTTTGAAACCAAGTATAGAATTTCACTTCTCTCTTAAATTCCATCCCATTGGGATCAACCTACTGTTAATAATTCAACAATAATATTATTTATTAAGCACATAACTTTATGTAATACACTGTTCTGGATGCCGGGGGTACAAAAATAAAAAATGAAAAACCCCTGGTCTCAAGAGATTTTTGTCATATTTTTTTTCCAATCTCTCTAAGTCTTTTGAGATTCCTAGTTCTGTCTTTTGATGTATAGGTTATTTGCCTCTCCCCCTTATAAGAGTAGAGTCTGGCAGTCTGATAATTCGATATGTATACCACCTCTTTCTTTATCCAGATCATCAATTAAAAATAGCTGGCTGGGTTGGTACATAGTGCCTGGCATATAGTAGGCCTTTAATAAATGCTTATTGTCTGCCTAACTGACTGACTACAAGGCCGTAGCTCATGGATGTCTTGATTGGAATGGAATTTGTTGTCGGGGATCGACATTAAGTCTGATGCCGATGTGGTGGTCATCTGGCAGTGGGCCACCATGCTGCCAAAGGAGAGGTAAACTGGCCCAGTCAGAAAATGGTACAGGAGTCAGCAAGTGGGATTGGGCCAGCAAGTGCCTGTTACACTTCCTCTAGCCTGGGCTAAATAGGGAGACCTAGTCTCAAAAATATACATATTTAGCAGGAGCCAAGAAGAGAACCCTGGAAAGAGATCTCCAATCCTTTCTACACACTGATATTGACCAATGCTCTTTGGGTCCTGTAAGTTAATCAACATAGTACCTGCTTAATATACTATCATTCAAACATCTTTCCACCTTGTCTAAGAAGATATCCTAAGAGTCTTTGGAAAATAATTTGCTAGAATCCATATGGGTATAACAGCTATCACTTATGTAATGCTTAGATTTGCAAAGTCCATTAGTAACTATTAATAGTAAATATTTAAATAGCATTTAAAGATTTTGAAAGTATTTTATGTATATTATTTCATTTGACTCTCACAACAAGTCTTGAGGTAGATACTGTTATCATCATCTCTGGTTTATAAAGGGGAAACTGAAGCTGAAAGAGGTTAAGAGATTTGCCCAGGATCACACAGCTAGTAAGTACCTAAAGGAGGGATCTTTGAGTTTGGTCACTTTATCTAAGAAGGAAATAAGGTATGTGTGGTGTGGCTGGTTCTTTTTCAGCCTTACTTAACTCATCTTGCTGCCACACTGATCACAAGCCATCCTTTTAATAATTCATACCAACAAGAATGCTGGTAACTGAGCCCACAGCATAGGTTGTACTAGTCTGTTGGTTTTTCAGTCATATTTTCCATGGAGCTCATGATATTTTCCATCTTCTTGTCCCATGGGCATACGGACAAATTCATAAGCCATAATTATGTTGGCCAAGCTATTGCAAAGATTTAAGAATTTATGGACTTTTGTGTAATGTAACACATATAGCCTTGGGGTGGGTTTTCTGTAGCTTCCTTTCAAATAAAAAGAAAGTAGGTTAAATAATATTAAAATTCTGAGAAGTGGAGATGAGAGCTAAGGCAAAATTTTGAAAACAACCACTCCTTGTGTCTAGTTTCCATTTCCCCTCCCTTTTACAAAGCTATTAAATATATGTCCAATCTGATATACAATTTATTCCTTAGTTAATGTTCTGAATCCAGTATTCAGGATTAGCAATGATTGATGCCAAGTGGTAACTCAGCCAGGGTAGTCCAAAAAATATTTCCTGGATTAAGTCTTCTACAATGGATGTTTTAAAAGAAGATGGATATCTTGTTTTCAAATGAAAATAATGAAGTTAGGCAGGCTGGTTGCTTTTGCTAGGATGATCATATTACATATAGGCTGACATACTCAAAAGAATTTCTTTTAATTTTCCTACCTACAGGATGTCCCAAAAATCTTAGTGCAAAGCTAGGTGGTACATTTGATAGAACTCCAGGAAATGAGAAGGATTCCAGTTCAAATCCGACCTCTGCAGCATTTCCTATATATCTTATCTTGTTTTTTTTTTTTCTGAATTCTTCATATTCATCATTTTTAAAAATAATCACCAAGCACTTGACAACGTTTGACAACAAGATGCAGTTAGGTGCCTCATTGGTTAGAGCACTGGGCCCAGAGTCAGGAAGACCTGAGTTCAAATTCAGCCTCAGATGTTTACACTAACTATAAGACCTTTGGTAAATCACTTAACCTCTGGTTGCCTGTTTCCTCATTTGTAAAATGGGGATAATAAGAGCACCTGCCTCCCCAGGTTATTGTGAGCATCAAATAAGATTATAATTATAAAGTACTTAGCACAGTACTTGGCACATAATAAGTGCTATATAAATATTAGCTCTTATTATTAGTTATTACATTAAGCTTAAAATTGCACTCAGATTTTGGGGCATCAGAGAAGTAGGAAAATTTTTAAAATCCATTAAACTCAAAACTGTAATAAGACCTTTGGACCATGCTGTATATACTTTGGCTATGTAATTCAATACGAATGACTATTCTTACCCAATAATACTTACCGGTTTTTACGGCCAACACAAGTTAAAGTGGTCTTTAGCGATAGAGGTATTGAGGGATAGAAAGAGGGATGGCTTCAGATCAAGAAGACCTGGGTTCACATCTCATCTCTAACACATAGTCAGTTTGCAACTCTGGGCAAATCACTTCTTGGTGCCCTAGGCAACTCTCTAAGACTCTACGTTACAGCATAGGCTCTGATCTGGAAGTGTACAGGGGATTTCCTAATTAAGAATTCTTGCCACCAACAAAATGATAGTCAGATGGAAAATGGGCTCTGATTTTGTTTAACTATATATCTTGTTACAATGGTTTTGTTTTCCCTTTTTTTTCTCTAAAAAAGGGGAAACAGTATAAGAGGGAAAAACAATAAATGTTTGATAGTTGAAAAAAAAATAAAGTCAAAACAAACACCCTTCCCTAATTCCGTCTCCCTACTGCCATATATCGAAGAGGTAGTATGACATGGTGACAGCGTTCTGGGCTGGAAATCAGAAAGAACTGGGTTCAGGCCTCTCCTGTGTCACTTAGCTATATGACACTCGGCAAATCACTTTTATGTCTTGGGAGCAGCTAGGTGGTGGAATGGATAGAGCGCTGGGCCTGGAGTTAGTAAGATCTGAGTTCAAATGAGGCCTCAGGCTCTCACTAGCTACCGGCCCTGGCCAAGTAATTAACCTCTGTTTGCTTCAGTTTCCTCATCTATCAAATGTGGATTATGCCAGTTTTGTTGTTACTGTGTCATTTTCAGTCATGTTGGGCTCTTCATGACTCCATTTGGGGTTTTCTGGGCAAAGATATTGGAGCAATTTGCCATTTCCTTCTCCAACTCATTTATTTGACAGACGAGGAAATTGAAGCAAACAGAGTTAAGTGATTTGCCTAGAACCACACAGCTAAAAAGCACCTGAAGTCAGATTTGAACTCAGGTCCTCCTGACCCCAGGGCCAACACGCTATACACTGTGCCACCTAGCTGCCCCATACAGCACCTACCTTCTATAGATGTGAGGGAAAAAATGAGATAATGTGTAAAGTGCTTAGCATAGTACCTGGCACATAATAGGTGCTATATAAATATTGGCTATCATCATCATTATTTTATTTACTATTATTATTGATAATTATTATTTATTATCTCTCTGAATCCCAGATAACTCCCTAGGATTTACTCTAATTCCTGATATTTGGTCCATCACTGGTGGAAAAAGTCCACATACCCAAAGTTTCTTGACTGTGATACGGGGATAGACAGCATACTTTTATTAACATTGAATTTGAGGGCTGCACTCATATACACTGGACTTTGACATTTTTGCAAACTGCTTGCCATAATTTACACTTTGCAAGGTTTAATATCCTAGCAGCAAGCTGTCAAACAGGCACATGACTTTGCCCATGTCAGCTGTGCTCTTTTGCTTTCCTCTGAGGTTTCTTCTGAAAACTCTTCCAGATTCTTTAGAGCCCTCAAGAGATGTCCTAAGAGCTATTCACATTTTATAGTTGGCTATTTTAATTACTTTGAATTACTCCCTTTTGTTTTTTTTTTGTTTTTTTTAGTTTTTAGGGTTTTTTTTTTTTGGTTTTTATTGTTTTGGTTTTTTGTTTGTTTTAGTTTTTGTTTTTTGGCTTGGCCTTCCTGTTTTGTTTTCTAATCTGAATGCATTTGAAAGAGTTTGAGAAATATGGGGCCCCTTTAAGAGACTCTTTGATCTAATGGTCTGTGCCTTATCCAAATAGTGACTTGGAAGTTTTGAAAACCTTTAGATGTATTTGTGTGAGATTGCATAATATTTCTAAACTTTTGTAAACTAAAGAAAGCTGCACAAGAATTGTAGGCAAAATGTTAAATGAAAGCTACAGAGGTGAACACTCTTTTATCATGGTCACTAGAGTATTCTTTCCCCTTGTTCTGATCTTTTCTAGCTTTTTACACTGTTCCTTCTCCTTTATGCACCTTATTTTTGGCTTTTACAAGTGGATATTTACTGTGAAGATGTAACAAAAATAGAACTGTAAACATCCCCCCTGCCAATGCTTGGGAGTATACTGACCCCTGTACCACCTTAGTCCCTGGGAAGAAGTGGGCTTTGACATGACCACATAGCATTTGTTCCACCAAATTCATTTCACTGTTGGATGGGGGAGATGAATCTGCATCTCTGCTACTTGTGCCATGCAGGTTGCTCTAGGTATCATTACCATGTGGCATCTGGTAAATCACAACATGAACTCCAGCTCCTAGGGTTTTGGTAGCTTGGTCCACAAGATCATGGCCATCCCCAATCTCTCATGGAGACTAGTATCCTCAGGCTGAGATTCTCTCCCAGTCGAGAGAGAGAGAGAGAGAGAGAGAGAGAGAGAGAGAGAGAGAGAGAACATAAATAAAAAGAACAGCAAGCAGTAGCTTGCTTTTCAGCAACAATCAAAGAGAATCAGAAGCTATCAATGATAAGGGTGTGTGTGTGTGTGTATGTATGTATGTATGTATTTTTAAGGCTGGACCTACTGGTGTTGAAATTCCCACCTCCATTGATTTGAATCAACAACTTGCCTTCAATTTTTAGTCTTAGAGACTTGCTGGGAGTTCTATAATTTAAGGAACCTGCCTAATATGTCAGAGGTAGTACCCTGGACCCAGGTCTTCCTGACTCCCAGGCTGGTACTTGGATATCGACTCACTACTTCCAAATGTCTCTCAGTGATGACACAGGGAAATTAAATCTAGTTATTTCATTTCAACCAGTATGTCCAACATAGCCTAACCTTGTATATGAGTTGCAACTGTGACAATTAAAAATTTCAAGAGATATAGTTTCTGGGTAATTTAATTATTTTATTGGTAAGCCTAGCGTGCTTATTAATGAAAGGATGTCAGTAGCCCTGTCAAATGCCAAAGACCCCTCATGGTGGTGGGCTTACAGTTTATATACTCTTGGAAGAGCAAGTGTTCCTGAGGGTGGCAATTGACTCTGATAGGTTAACAATTAATAAGACAATGAATATTACAATGAGTGGCTGGGCTATATTACAATGAGGGTCTTGAGGTATTGACCTGGCTCACTCAAATCTTGGTCAAAGAGACTTACCAATTTCCACATCACCTGTCTGACGAAAGGGAGAATCAATAATTTTTCAGGCCTGAGTAGGAATTTTCCCATCAGCCTAAACTTAGAATTTCTTTCACCGTCTGATTAGTCTTGGCCGGGGTAAATCTTTGAGAAAGATTTTCTACACCAGTTGGTGTCTGGATGAGGAAACAGAAAAGAGAAAAAAAAAGCATTGGTTCCAATACAATATTTAGTTATTAAATACAAGAGAGAAATAATCATTTCTCTCACTACCTAGCAATTAATTGGTTGAAATCTTTCTCCCAGTTCCTGGAGTGACTCTTTCTCCTTCCTTAACACCTTCTTATATGTAAAATGAGTAATGATATGCACAAATTATAGGCCACAAGAAAGGGAAGAGAGAAGGCTTTAAAAATTACCCATAAAATTGACAATCTGCTACCAAATAAACTACTTTGTTAATTATTTTCATTTATTAAGCTTGTTCTGTTAGTACAGGGGTTCTTAATCTTCTTGTGTCATGGACCCTTCTGGCATTTGGTAGTCTGATGAAACCTATGGACTCCTGAGAATATGTTGAAATGCATAAAAGAAAACATAGGATTACCAAAGTAACCAATTATATTAAAATACCTAGCAGTATTTTTTACAATAAATTCACACACCTCAGGTTAAGAATCCCTATTTTAGAGGTTCCTACTTGCATGTTGTTTTATTTATTGTTAAATACCTCTAATAAACATTTTTCAATATGCCAGTGATCACTATCTGTTTTCTATTCCATTAAGGCTGTGTTGTGCCTTGTTTATTGAGTTGTATTAGTTGTATCTGAGTCTTTGTGACCCCACTTGAGGTTTTCCTGGCAGAGATACTGGAATGGTTTGCCATTTCCTTCTCCAGCCCATTTTATAGATGAGGAAACTGAGGCAAACAAGGTTAAGTGACTTGCTCAGGGTCACACAGCTAGTGAGTGTCTGAGGCTGGGTTTGAACTCAGGAAGATGTCTTCCTGGCTCCAGGCCTGGAACTCAATCCACTGCACTACATCGCTGTCAAGATTATCTTAGACAGCATCAGATCAATTCAATAAACATGTTTTGAGCACCTACTATGTGTAATGCCCTGTTGCAAGTGCTACTTTAGATAAAAGGAAAATTAAGACAAAACCTTTGCCCTCAACAGGCTTATAATGTAATGGGCTGGAGTGGAATGGAAGGATGTAGGACAAGAAAAAGTGACAAATGTAATACAAAGTGAAATGCTAACACAGCTAAAAGTAGGTAGGTGTCAAAGTGGACAAGCCCCTGGCCTGAAGTCAGGAAGGCTCATCTTCCTGAATTCAAAGCTGGCCTCAGGAACTTCCTAGCTATGTTACCCTGGGCAAGTCACTTAACCCTGTTTGCCTCAGTTTCCCTCATCTGTCAAATGAGCTGGAGAAGGAAATGGCAAACCACTCTAGTATCTTTGCCAAGAAAGCCCCAAATAGGATCACAAAGAGGTGGAAATGACTGAACAACAGCAATGTGCCAGGCACTGTGTTAATCACTGGGTTTACAGCTCCCCCCTCAAAAAAAAAAAAAAAAGCAAATACAATCCCTGCGTTAGCTTTACTCACAGGTGACATAGTACAAATCAAGCAGATTGGGGAAAAAACAAACAAACCAAAAACTCAAGTAGATTACTTTCTTAGACAGCTTTGAATTTCTTTGCTTAACATCTTGAAGCAGCCTTACTTCAGAATCTCTAATACACTAGGGTTATTAGTTGTAGATTCCATTTCCCCTACCCTCCACCTTCCCCCAGCGCGGGGCAGTTCATTAACTCTCCTCTGTAGGTTATTAGGTGGACACAGGCATCTTCTGGAAGAAACTGCTGTCTAATTTTGAGTGAGTTTGCTTCTTGAAATGTGTGGGGACGTTGTCTCCCTCCTTCTGCTGACTCTTCCCACCCCCGCCCCCAATAGTAAATGAACCACTATTGTAATGTTCACTGTAATTTCCCAGAAGACTTGGTGACCAACTTTGCCTCACTGTTCCCTCCCTCCCTCCCTCCCCCTAGCTTTTGGTTAGCTTCCAATATAGAATACTTGAATTAAATTTGCCCCCACTAGACTTCCCCTTTAACTGCATCCTTCTATCTTCCTGGTATTTGTATTACAAAGAATCCCTAAATGATTTCATTGTATTTCAGAGCATGGCTACTATTGCCTACGATTTTTATTTTTCTGTGGTTACAAGTTTTTCCAGTCTTGATTAGATTCATGTAGAGTACAAGGCAAAAATTACAAGTTTTCTATTTGCAGGCGTTATCATGGAATATCCTATCATGTTGTATGTCATAGGAGAATAAACATTTACAGTCTTTTGTATGCCTTTTATTCTATTCTGCCATGTCAGTCATGACTTCATATCTAAGATATAATTATCCAAATTTGTAATTTAATAGTCTTTCAGACCTTTTTTTCTACCACAATTATTTCTGGTCAGCTGCTCTTTAAATTATATTTCAACCATTTTACATCCCTGATCATCTATCTATGAGAAGGAACAGTTTATTTCAGGAAGAAACTAACAAAGACATAGGTGTTCAGCCTTTAAAGCAAGGAAGCTATGTCTACAAGCCATACATGGGCAAGCAGTTTCATTATTTATCTGTAGTGTCAAAGCTGGCCTGGCCCAGAAAGGCAAGATAAAATATATTTCTGGTGACTCCTCCATCCTATCCAGCAATCCACAGAGGGACACCTGGGATCCTACAGTGATTCTGGGATGCTCAGGTGAAGTTCAGAGGGCTGATTACAGGCAGCTGCTCCTGGAGCCTTTATGTGGTACCAATGCTCCCTGCCTGAATTCTGATGCACCCAGCCCCAGCCAGTCTCAGCCTTCCCCTAGGCAGAATGGAGGGTTGTCGGGGAGTTGGGGAATTTGAAAAGGTTCTAGCACGTGGCCCTGCTGCCCTAATCAGGCTGTATACATAGCTTAGTCTTTCCTAGACCTGTGGCTGGCTGCCTGAAGCCAACAGAACCACTTGAGGGTGATTAGGGTGGATCCCTCCCAGCATTCCAAGACATTCCAGAGCCTAAGGTTGACCCACACCCGATAGCAGATGAACTTTGCCCTAGCCCAGCAGAGAGACATGGTCCAATGCATTCCAGGCTGGGGCCATTTCTGCGCCTGTGGCCCAAGTGAGGCAGAACAGTTCTAGGCAAAATCCAGCTCAAACAAGCCCTGAACTTAGTGGTGGGAACCCAGCACAGGATTAATGCACAAACCCAAGAGGAGGGGAAGGAAGGACTTCAGATGAATCCTATAGGAGAAAGATCAAGGATTCCTGTGACAAGTGGGGACCCCCAGACTGAACTAAGGCTGGGAGCCTCTCTAGAGCCCCTTTAGGAAGGGGCTAGACTGGACCACCATGCTCAATTTGATTAAAGTTGGACACTCCCCCCCCCCAAAAAAAATCCTTGAGCAAACCAAGAAAATCTCTGGCCATCAAGAGGAAAAACTAAGTTGGTTTGAGAAATGCCTGGGGGTAAACCCAAAAGAGGGTAATGAACCCAGAAGTCCAGGTAGTGCCTCAATAAAAAAATATGTATATCTTGGACACAAGGATTGCAAATGTACCTGGAAGAACTGAAGCAATGCAATGGAACAGAATGGAAAAGAAAGGGAGGAAAGACCGGTGAAGAAAGCTGATACCTTAGAACAGATGGTAGAAAACTTCATTCAGGAACTGAATGCCCTGAAAGTTAGAAGGGCTGACTAGAAAACAACGAATCAGCAATACAACATGAACTATTAAAAATTAAAAAAAGGGAAAAAAGAAAATGTAAGAAAATATATCAAAAACAACTGACGTGGAAAAGAGACCGATTTAGAATTTTCTGACCATCTAAGATTATAATCAGAAAAAAGTCTAGATGCTGTATTTCAGAAATTATAAATGAAAATTGGCCAAAACTCATAGAATCAGAGAGCAGAATGAAAACAGAAAGAATCCAAAAGTCACCTCCAAAAAGAAACTCCAAAATGAAAACTTCCAGGAATATCATAAGCCAAAATCCAGAGTTTCCAGGTTAAAAAAAAATATACTATGAGCAGCCAAAAAGAAGGAGTTCAAATATCAAGTGTCCAAAATAAGGATTACATAGGTTTCAGCAGCTGCCAAAATAAAATGAGAAGAGTTTGGATTTTTATATTCCAAGAGTCAAGAAATGAAGTTTTAGAGTCATGGAAAACCTATTTAGCAAAACTAAGTCTAATCTACAGTGGGGGGAAAATGAATTTTTAATGGAATAGAGGATTCCCAAGTATTCCTGATGAAAAGACCAGAGGGGAAACAGGCATTTGGAAATGGAAGGGCAGGTGCAACAGAAATATAGAAAGGTATGCGTATTTGTATAATTGAAAGGAAATGTATGAGGATGGATTGTTTACATGTTAACAGGGAAATGAAAGACAGATATTTTATGAGAATCCTCATATCTTTAAGCGTCAGAAAAAAGTTTAAATGACAAAGGTCTGTGAGTGGTTCACTTTTGTTTTGTCTTACGATAGGAGGGACAGAAGTCTACTAGGGAGGAAAGAAGGAAGAAATGAAAGCAAATCATTATTGCATAATAGAGGTGCATACTATAAAGAATGTGTGGGTGTGTGGGTCTCCCTATCTCCCTCCACTCTTCCCTCTCCCTCTCCTGGGAGGAAGGGTGGTTCCATGAAGCTCACTCTCATTTGAGATTGATAAGTTAAAAAAAAAAAGTCGAAAAGTAAAAAGTAATTACACAACCCTGCCTTCATTCTCCTGCCAGATCTTGGTAAAGACATACATTAAATTCGAAAGGGAAAAAGGGGTGAGGCAGGGTGAGAAGGAGATAGAGAAGAGTCTAAAACGGAAAGCAAGGTACGTAAGGGAATAGTCGAAAGCGAAACAAAATAGAAAAGTTGGAGGAATGTGAAGGCATGATTAGAAGGAAAAGGAAGAAAGAGGAAAACTCTGGATGAGAGGTGGGATAAGGAGAAGAGAAGAGCTACAGTAAGAAAGGCTATGTGGTTTAGAAGATTACATTTGTCCGGCCACTTCCCTCAATTCTACCACCTTCTTCTCTGAAGGGGGAAGTAGAAATAAAGAATGAACAGAAGTAAAGAAAGGACAGGATG